ACTACACCAGAGCACAGAGTGCTGTCCTCTGAAGATGCCGGCCACAGAGACTGGTGAAATGTTAGGAAGAACAACCTTCAGAACATGGCCAAAGCAAAAAATAAAAACCACACAACCAACCAAACAAAAAACAAACAAATCACAAGCTCAAGTGGAGAAAATTCAAACCAACCAACCAAAAAACAAACAAACAAACAAGCTCAAGAGGAGAAAATTCGACTTAGACCACCACCTAGGGTTACTGCTCTTCTTCAGACTGGCATCTCGGGAAGGTTGGGGTTGTGTCTCTTCAGCTGCCTGTACACAGGTGTGCAAATGAACCTCTGACTAAGCCCCTACTCCCCACTGATCTAACTTGTCTTTGTGGCTGCTTCGTATGTCATGTACTGCATGTGTTCTAAAGCTGATGGCAAGATAAGGTGTCATGAAGCACTTGATCCCAACTAGTATGTGCAGCACCTCAGGTGCTGCACATTCCCTCCCTGCTCCCCCGCTGCCTGTACACAGGTGTGCAAATGAACCTCTGACTAAGCCCCTACTCCCCACTGATCTAACTTGTCTTTGTGGCTGCTTCGTATGTCATGTACTGCATGTGTTCTAAAGCTGATGGCAAGATAAGGTGTCATGAAGCACTTGATCCCAACTAGTATGTGCAGCACCTCAGGTGCTGCACATTCCCTCCCTGCTCCCCCCAGCCAGCTGCAGCACCACAGGTGCCGCACATTCCCTCCCTGCTCCCCACAGCCAGCTGCCCCACTCACTGGCTGGGTTGTCCCCCTGGGGCAGGTCTCTAGTCCAGGCAGGAGCCCGGGCTTCCCTGCCCCACCTCCTCCAGCACCTGACCACTCAATGGCTGCGCAGGGAGAATTCCCATTCTGCCTCCTTGTCTGAGTGGTCAGGTGCCGGCGGAGGCAGGACAGAGAAGCCTACTGAGTGGCCAGGTGCTGGAGGAGGCAGAACAGGGAAGCCCAGGCTCCTGCCTAGACTGGACAGCCTCCCCAGGGTTGATGACCCAGCCCTGCCTAGACTGGACAGCCTCCCCAGGGTGATGACTCAGCCAGTGCACAGAGGTTTGTGAGTGGGGCAGCTGGCTGGAGGGGGGGGAGAGGAAGAAATGTGTGGCACCTGTGGTGCTATGCATACAAATTGGGCTAAAGTGCAGCAAAGTGCTTCGTGCCCATGTCTAATGCGTATCTTTGTGGTCTACAAACAGGCACACATTTTGTTCAACACGGAAGTGACTGTGAATCTTTCTGATGCCACCCAGAATCTATCCTGTACGGCTAAGCAGACACTTGACTTGTCTTGCTTCTTTTCACAGGTCCTTCTGAACTATTGGATATGACAGATAGTGAAACGTAAGTTTTTTTTTCCTTCTTGACCTCTCTTTCTTTGGCTTCAACCCACATCAGTTGTTGTATTTAATGGATACTTTTGGCTAACTAAACCAATTTATGGAAATTAAAACCACTGTCATGGAAGATGAAACAATATTAGCCACCCATCACTTCCATATGCTCTTTCCACTTGAGAAGTAACTTATTTCTTAAACCACAAAGTGCAGGTCTCAGACTTTTTAATGCCAATTATTGTCCATTTTGTAGGCATAGTTGGAGTTTTGGAAGAATTGCAAGTTCTGGAAGCAATTGATTTGTCTGATTCATTCCTCCTGAACCTGTTCAGCAACACATTTACTTTGTGTTCAAAACATTATATGATTCCAGGCTTGCCATGTCATCCACTAAAGAAAAGGAAAAAAAATATTCAACATCATGCACGTGCAACAAACACTGTGTAGATTTCTAAAAGTTGTGTGTAAATGCACTAGACAGTGGGGTTGTATGTTCATAAATGCATACATCAAAATCATGGTTCCAAAACTGCGGGCAGAAAATGCACAATGTATGGATATCTTTTGAACTAGCAGTGTGATGGGTGCTCTTGTCTTCTCAAATTTTGCCAATCTCAACCCACTGAGCCTTCCCTCACTCTAGTGAGATCTTCTGGCTTCCCACTAAAACAACACACTAGTCTCATTTTATATTTGCCTCTCCCTTTTGTTTTCATTTTGCTTTTCCCTGTTGTTCTGCACAGGAAACTGCCCAAGTCTGCACAATTTGTGCTCTGCTCTGTGCAAAGAAACAACACCATTGGCACAGGAATGATAAGACTCCTGAGCAGCTCGATGTTTCTTTCAGAAACTATGACCATGAAACTTCAAAAAAATCCTGCAAGATTTCCCATTAGATTTCTCAAGGGATGGGGTCTTTCTCTCCAAGATCAAGAGACAGTGAGATTCACATCCTACTCTGAAGGACTAACACAATTTATTTCCACTTGTACATGCGAATGTTTATCCATAACACAATCAGTGAGAATTGTAATTCGCATCTACAGTCACTGTTAAATTTAGTTCCCATTCAAGCAAAGACATAGCATAAAGGTCCCTCTTGACATTCATTGAAACCAGAGTATTGGTTGCAAGTTGCTGTATTTGCACATGAGTGCCAAAAATCTAAGCTTTGTTGAAATATCTAAAGAAATGCATAGTGTGTAAACATTACAGGTTTTTGGGTTTAATCACTTTTTCTTCTTTCAAATATACACACAAACACACACAGTTATCATATTGCTCTTGTTGACGTAGCATGGAGGCAGGAAAAAAATGGATGCTAATGACTGCTAGCCTAGCAATTAAATTTGCTCAAACAGCCAAAAATAACCACATTTTGTTGCTGATTTAAAATGGAGTTCTAGTCTGGATGAGAACTTAACATGCAGCACATTGCTTTAAGTATGGGCATTTTTTTTAAAAAAGAAAGAATCGAGTCTTTGAACACTATTGTTAATTTCAATGCGCTAAGAACTCGTATATATATGTGTGTGTGTGTGTGTGTGTGTGTGTGTGTGAATCTTTTAAAAACCCCGAAATTATGTCCTGGTGAATATAATTAAGTGCAAGAGTCAGGTTTTATTTATAATTTTTTTCTGTTAAATACACAGGGGTGAGACAGCACTACATAAGGCAGCCTGCCAGCGCCACCGTGGCATCTGCCAGCTATTGGTAGAAGCAGGAGCTTCATTGAAGAAAACGGATGCCAAGGTAACCAAACCAAACAAACCCATTGACCCAGAACTGGAGGCAGGTGGAGCTGATATGCCTGTAACTCATCAGCTGCCATAGCAAAGACGTATGGAGAGTTACTGTTCCTCCTTACTTTCTAGCTTGATCCTAACTGTGTTCACTTGGGCATAAGATCCATTGATTTCATTTCTTTTTCTCCTGCTGTTTGGCACAAGGAGCTTCCAGGTGGTTTATAATTAATAGCCAAAAGAATGAAATACAATAAAAAGAAAGAGTATAAAACAGCCGTGAAAGCCCTAGAACAATAACCACCAGCACCAAAGGTTGCAGATAAAATAACAGTTAAGATTGTTAAAAGGGTCTTAATAGATTAATAGAATGGATCACTTCCAAGACAGTACACATTCTCTAGGGAAAGAGGTTATTTCCAAGTTTCAACACTGAGCAGGTCATGTTTTAGACTTAGTAGCTTTCAGGGATGTTGGCAAGTCTTTGGTCTGAGTTCAAATCTTTGGTACCATGTCCTGAGTCCCAAGCCCCAAATCTGAGTCCCTATTAAAAACAAGACTTTTTCTGGGTGGGTTCTGAGTCCAGGTCACTTTAAAAAAACCCAGTTGGGTCACCAGTGTGAATTAAGGCTGACTTGACAACGAGTCCACTGACTCGAGTCACCATCCCTGGTAGCTTCTCTACTAAGACATAGTAGAAAATGTTAGTAGCATGTCAGCTAGTTTGATTAATTCCAAAAAAAAGTATGCATAAGATTGCATCCTTTGAGCAAAACCTTTTTTTTCCAGAGAGTGAGATTATTTGAAACAAAATCTGCACACTAGTGACTTCCCTGAAAGAAATACAGGTGGAAATAGCTGCCAATAGCTCGCCTGACTACCTGCTTCCTTGAAAAAAATTACTTCGTAGGAGTACAGTATATCCCCCGGTAGCCAAGTTGGCCCTCAGTTCATGGGCAATGTAGTTCCTCCCACCCAAAAAAAATTATTTCCCAAGCTCTACCCTAAATTATGAATGCAACAGATTGTCTTTAATAGGGCCATGCTGAGTGTGGCTCCAGTTTTAATGTTCATTTCAAAAGCATACATATTTACCACAAACAAATTGGAAGAAGAAGACTAATCTTGCCATTCTTTTGGGTTGTTCTGAAACTGCTCAATGGTATTTCCTTCTCTTTCCTGGCTTTTTATAAGTCGTTCTCTGTCTGTCTCTTGTCTTGTCCATGTAGGGTAAGACACCCCGAGACAGGGCCCAGCAGGCTGGGGATCCAGATCTAGCTTCATATTTGGAGGGTCATCAGAACTACCAAGTGGTTCCCCATGAAGACCTAGAGACTGCAGTGTGATGTCTTTGGAATATGGAAGAATCCCCTAGGTAATAACAAGGCTGCGCCTGAGGCACATTCGGGCGTCCTGTGAAGAGGAAGCAAACGGAATCAGTGCGACTCTCGCTCTCGTGAAAAAATATCTGAGAAGAAGTCATCAGTTTCTAAGGGCTACAGAGACATGCCACAGAACTCTCGTTTTCCCATAGATTAACCTGTGGGAATGAAGGGGGAGATTCAAAGGTCTGCGCAATCAATGGGCTGAGGAAATTTACTTCTATTGCTCTCAGCAAGTAGCATGACACATCTGTGTTCCTGTGTAGAATTTATTTGAACAAGAACAGCAGCAACAACAACAATAGCAACAACAGGTGTGGGGGATGAAACAAAGTGACAGGAACATTTGTAATCTGGCCAAATCTTTCTCCTCTCTGAATCTTTGCCATATAACTCTTGCTTCTCCTGATGTTGGCCCTACATTCTCCCTCTGTCATCATGTGTGCTACGTTCCCCCTTCTATCTCCACAGCAGAGCATCCGTAAAGTGGTGTCTGTTTATTTCTGTGCTAAATTTTCATGGCTGCTCAGTGTTTTGAGGAGAGCCCTCAGTGCCCATACCTTTACATAACAAGAACTCACTCACTTTCCTCAGCTACTGCATTACCAGATAGATACTTCTAGTTCTCAACATATTTCTTCTTCTGCCCTATTTAAATAGGCACCAGAGCATTTGCAGTATTACTCACAAAGAACCAGAGTAGGTGTATCATGCCTTTGAGCATACAAAAGCTACAGTGTGATGGTAGGCCACAAAGAATCAGATCAGGTGGTAACTGTGTAGTAAGGTTCCTTGAGAAAGTGCACCAAGCTTGTTTACATTACCCTGACACACACCCCAACAGGTTTTCATGATGTTTTGTTTTAGAAAATTCCTCCACAAATTTGTTTTGAATGTTTCTTTTGGCAAAATCTTTTGACAACCTATAGATATGTTAAATCCACCCAACACATTTTGCTCATCATAACCCTTTTGATGGCCACTCTGGTGAGATGCCTCGGTTCTCCCTTTGCTGGCTACAGTGCTTAATCTTGAGTCCTTCATTACTTGTGGGTACTTCGGACTGTTAGGCTGCCAAAGACCAGAGTAACCTAATTCATATCCATAAGGGTTTATATTTCGTCAATCAGCGTTGACGTGAGGTCTTCACCTTTTCCTTTCAAAGGCCACTTGAAACTAAACCGAAAGATCCTGCTGAGAAACATTGTCTTGCTGCTATAAAAGGATGAAAGCTATGTTAAAATAAGTGAAAATATGCTAACAGTGCAATGATAAGCATGTTTTCTCTAGGTTTGTCTAAATTTAAAGGATATGCTACGGTAAATTTGTTTAGGATTGCCTTCTATGAGTTTTGGGTTAAGTAATTTATAAATAGAGAAGAACTTAGCCCAATAATTATGGGACTAAATGGCATGCAGTTGTTACTCCTACATTATTTCCTATAGGCTTTTCCACCACCACAGTGGGAAATTCAGTGGTAACAGTGGTGGATGGGTTGGGGCATACAAAACCCAAAGCCACCTTCTTGTCTTTGAGTTAGAACTTCCATGTGCGTAGGTGTGAGGAAGTCTGAGGTCCTCTTTACTCCATCTTTCCAACTTTCAAGAAACTATTTCTTTTAAAGAACAAAGTGCTCTCCCCCCAGCATTAAAGATAGGGAGACTGTCATCTCTCCTAAATCAAAGCCTCCCAAGTCTCAGCTGGAATTCCTAGGGAGTCATATAAACAAACACTCCAAGATGAACCTGCTGCTGCAGGTTGCAGGGCATGATGGTCCATAAAACTTCTCACATCTGTGCAAGATCAAGATCTTACTTTGTAAAATCAAACTCACTTCTATTCCAGGACACTTAGAGGGCATTTTCTGAGCTTCACGAGGTTCAAAGTAGATGAACCCATTCCTTAGAAAAAGTCAGGGCAGATCTTAGTTGTACCTCCTGTATCCTTCTACTGCTTTCTATTTTGCTGGTCTTCAAAGGTGTTAAAAACTATTCTCATGTATACACATGTGGCCATCCTAGCTTTGATGATGAAGGGAAGAATTTGTATTGGGAGTGATTCCATAGCAACTTACAGCCAATTTGGTTCCCATTAAGGATGTGCACCATATTGGCCAAATGGGAAAGACTAACCAAATTGGGCTGTTGGTGGTTTCCAGGGCAACCAGAGGTTGAAGCAAAAAGCACAGGGGCGCTCATGGGGAGGAGTGGCACCCAGATTGATAATTTATGTTAAAACTGGCATTCACAGAGATGAAATGTTAGAACAAAAAGATGCAACACTGTTAAAAGATGGGAAAGAAGAATAAAAATAATCAGTTTCCCAAAATAGCATATAGTTCTGTAATACCTTCAGAGTAACAAATGCCTTGTGGCAAACCTTCCATGGAACAGAGCCTACTACATTTGATGCATGCACTGTTTTATCCAGTTGACTGGTGAATGTGTATATGTAGAGAGAAAGAACAGATAATGTGGCAATACAATAGAAAATTGTACACTAAGTGGCAATTCAGTTATGGAAAATAAATTCAGGGACCATTTGCAATAGTGGTAGTCGGCAATAACAATTAATGTTGAGTTTGGCCAAGATTATATACTTTTTAAAAATATATTTGTATTATTTATATGCTTCCTTTCTACCCATGGGGGACCCAAGGTGGCTCACAACCATTAAAATTGTACAATAATATGTTTAAATACTGTGCAAAACTGTATTTAAAATAATTAAACATTAATCAAGATTAAAATTAAATTTAAGAACATTTAAAAATATCTAAATTCCATAAAGAAACCCCAATAATTGCTTAAAAACCTGCCTGAAAAGCAAGGTCTTTGCCTGAAGATGATGGGACAAGAGGGAGAAGGAGCAACCTGTCTTCTTGGGGCAGCAGACTCAAAAGCCTGAGAGCAACTACTGGGAAGGCCCTCTTTCACGTCTTCACCAAACAGGCTTGGGGAGGTGGTGCAGACAAGAGAAGGGGTTTCGCAGAAGATCTTAAAGGCCAAGTAGGCTCATATAGGATGATAACACTCTTTCAAATAACCTCTAGAAGTGGAAAGCCAAAAGACACTCAGAAAATGGAGCCCAAAAATGGAATACTGTATTGGAGACTGGCTAATAATAATACAATACAGCGGGATTCAAGGAGGCCTTTTTTAAACAAAGGTCTTATTGCTGCCTTCTTAGCCATGCTGGTACTCAGCCTTGCTGCAAGGAGGCATTTACTACTCTCTTAACCCACTCAGCCTTCTAGCTCCTTTTATAAGCCAGGAACGGCAAGGGTCCAGCAAACACATGGTGGTTTTCACCTCTCCAACGACACTGTCCACATCCTCAGACTGCATGAACTGAAACAATTAGAGGCCAAAGTTCCATCAACAAACCCAGTGTCAATTACTGTAAAGTGCCATGCAAAATCTTCACCATGGGATGTCAAGTGGTGATCAATCCTCTCTTGGAAACAAGCCCTTGACCACCCAAAGGAGCTCCACCGAATTGCTCTATGAAGATGCAATGGTGGCATAGAAGAACTGCTTCTTCGTTGTCACCACTACCACAGAGTAGGCATTCCAATGAGCTGTAGTCCACTTTTGATTGGATCTCCTCCAAGTTTTCTGCCATCATCACTCTAGTCTCTGTCCCACTCAGTTCATCATCCCCAAGGAGCTAGTTTGGCTGCACTTCATGGGAGGGAATGCTTCGAAGCGATTGTGTCAATAGCCCTAGCCACCTTTGCATTCCAGAGATCTGCCAGGGCCATAACAGGATCACCTGTCAAGACAGCTGGAAACTCCCTAAGAGCTGTCAGAAAACCATTTGGATCCATCAGTCTCCTAGGATGGACCATTTAAATTACTCCCCACCCTCTGCAGGGGTGTTCCAATAAGCCTAAACCCTACCAGATAGTGATCCGTCCAGAACTGTTGAGGGTTCCTCCACACCCAATCCCAGCAGCCTGTGGGACAGAGCACCTGACAGGAGTGATTGAATTTTGATAGACTATTACAACTCCTCCTTCCCACCCCCCTGGTCTGGACTGCTGCTGCTCAATGAATCTAGGTGGACAAAGCTAAGAAAGACTGAATTCCTCAGCTTCATCCAACCAGGTAATGCAAGCCAACTTAGCGTGTCCAACCAGGGTCAAATCCTGGATGTCAGCTGTGCTACTTTTCACTGACCTGGCATTTAGCAGCAGCACCTTCAACCCAGGGGCCTTGCCATCAAGGCTATCTGGGCTGTTTAATTTGAGAACTTGCCACCATATGAATAGATGCTAGTAGAGAAATGTATAAATGCTTATACATGGCACCACAAGTAGCGGCGGCAGCACCTCTGTCTGTCCAATTATTTGTCTATCTAGTCTTTTGTCTAATATCAATGTAACCTCTGCTTGACTTACCCCAATTTATCATCACAATCTAGGATATATGGGGCCTAAAGTTGCCCTTTTAAATTTTGCGAATTTTGCAGATGAGCAAAGATTTGAACAAGGGTCTTTGTGGTTCTAGTTAAATACTCTATTTATTCTGTCGCAATGGGTCTCACTTGGGGCTTTTCTACATGGGCTCATTTACAGGAGACTACTGTGGGCTATATAGGGTCACTTGGGGTCAGGTTACAGGCACAGTATACCATCTGGTATGATCCTTGCATCCAAATGACGTACGCACCTTGTGGCTTCCCATAGACATCTGGACGACTACTATGTGAACAAAATGCTGAACTAGAGCATTAACTGGTCTCAGCAACCATGGCTCTTACATGTTCATTATGAGACTGTGGTGTGACTAGCAGTGTAGATCCAACCCATTATTATTTTCCCACCATCCGTGAGTATTTGCTTGCAAATGACAGTGTTACTCCACAGAAGGCAACTTCTCATAATTAGCATGCAATATCCCACATAATTCATCATGTGGGGGGGGGAGAGAACAGGCTTTTGTTTCCAGTGCATGGTGAACTTAAACTTAAGAGTTACAAGCTCTGAATAGGGTCAGCCTGACAACAATGGGAAAAACACAATGGTTGCACAGCTGGTTAAAGGCTTCCTTGGGTGATTTTGAGGTTTTTGAAACTCATACAAAATGCAGTGAAATTTTGTGCACCCCAAAGTAATCAAAGGAAGTCTTTAGCCCGTGGCAATTTGCTACTGGTGCCATTCCCACTGCTTACACCAATCTGTGCCAATGTGTAGCTGATTCTCACTACAGATTTATATAGACATGCACTATACTTTTTTGGGGGGAGGTACTGTATGATGCTGTTAAGCAATGTGGCTGGTATATGTAAGTGGAACATAGATGTCAGAAGGATATTGCAATGTGATACTTTTTAAACCTCATACAGACGATAGAAGGAGAAATTACAGCATCTTGTCTATTCTCCTATTAAGGTCTAGTAAGGTAAAATCTTACATGCGCTACATGGTAACATGAGACATCACTGAACTATGAATCTCCCCATCTGAGCTTTCATTACAGTGTTTCTACATTTGCAGAGACATGGAAGTTCACAATATGATTGTGTAACATGAAACATTGTAATTTACTTAGCTATCACTAAGGGAGAGAAAATAAGATACACAGCTATCTTAATTTTGGTGGTGGCCATGTTGCTGTTATAATTCCAGTTTACACCTGAAGTATATTAATCCCAGAGGTTGTTGAATGTTGTTCAACTTTGGGCAATTAAAGATTCAATTCCATAAGACTGGAAAAGTTACATTTTTATATTACACTTCTCAGAACCCTGAGGAATACTTTCCCCAAAAGTAAACATTTCCAACATATATTTGTGTGTGAGAGCTAATGGTTTGCTGTTCACACATGAAAAAATGGACGCTGGTAACTGTAGAAAAGCCCCCTGCCCATTTTCCTCATAGACATCTAACAATGACATTCAGTTAGGCCAATGGTTCCCAATCTTGGGTAACCAAGGTGTTCTTGGACTGCATTTCCCAGAAACACTAGTCAGAGCAGATGGGGGTGAAGGCTTCTGGGAATTGCAGTCCAAGAACACTTTGATTACTCAAGTTGGAAACCGATGAATTAGACCACAAGCATACAAGTAGTATAAGGGACTAGAATTCATCAAATCAAATTTGACAGGTGCCACGCCCCTTTATGGCGGGACTAAGAGCTCAAGAATTGACCAGTCCTAATAGCACCAAATTTGCTGACTTGTTGCAGAATCTCATGCTAGCCAGGTAAAAAAGAGTCCACTCAACCCTAGCAAACCACTAGGGTTGAGTTTCCTTTAAATTTTGTACTGGATTTTGCATGTCCAAGTGTGTGTGCCTTGTCAAAATGGAAAGGGTGCATGCATGACTCCAATTTGTGTATGTCACTCCTTTTTTTAAAAAAAAATGTATACAGTGGCAAAAGAAGAACCCAACACTGGCATATTTCTAGAAGATGGCACCCACCCCACCCTCTAACACAGACACATTTTTGTGCTTCGCATTTATTTTACACTTTGCCATGCAGAGCTGAGTTAGAAACAACAGAGCTGGCCCTTAGCAAGTGCTGAACTCTTTGTAAATTCAGGGAAAGTCTTCTTGATTGGTGCCACCTATGAGAAGTGCTCTGTATTCTTGCGTGGGGCTGGAAACCCACTCAACAGAGATGTAAACAATGTGAATTAAGTTTAGTAATATATTTGCTTCAGTTGGTTTTTACAAAGCTGGTATATTTGAATGAGAATGCACATGTAAAAAGCATACACCTTCCAGAATGGTCGGGGTCTAGCGTTCAGCCATCTCAAAATCTGGTTTGGTCAGAACCTGATGATGTGAAATGCGGCTACTCCTGGATTGTCTTCGTTGCATTTTGGTTATATTGTAACTCTTAAAATGGCCACCCCATTCTACCATAAGACTGGGGCAACAGTATTTCATGTTATCATCAAATCACAATAAATGTGATTTTCTTTTGAAGAAAAAAAAGAACCACTTGTACTGTTGTATATTTCATTGATGGGTTTGATTCTTATCAGGAAAACACTGCTGAACTTGCCTGCTTTAAAAGCAATAAGAGAATACCTGAAAATTGCTTATAACTTCCCTGAGTATTAGTGAGGAGGACAAGCAAGCCAAGGTGGCATGAATGGGCAACTTTGGAAGGTTCAAAGACCAATTTTCCACCCCAGGGACCAACACAAGCAGCAGCACCTCCAAAATCAGCAAACATTTCAAACTGGAACTAAGCTGAAATTTACTTTCAGTTTTGTTTTTCAGGGGCTGAAATTTCACTCTTCATCTAATCATAAAAACCACAACACATTTTGTCACTGTAATGGCTTGTTCCTGCATTGGTATGGAAGCACTTAGATGCAGGAATGGCATGTCTGAGGCCCATTTTATGGCTTTTTCCTCCCAGTCGTTACCTTTCCTTCATATAATATGAGCCAAGAAGAGCTGAGAGACACAAACCATTACAAAAGAACTGAAGGTATCATGCATTGCCAAAAAATAATAATAACTGCATCACCATAAAAGACAATGAAATTTGCATGGAAGTTTCATATCATATATAGGGACATGGTGGTGCTATGGATTAAACAATCGCGCTGGCCACGTGACCAGGGAAACTGTCTTCGGACAAATGCTGGCTCTATGGCTTGGAAACGGGGATGGGCACCGTGCCCTAGAGTCGGACACGACTGGATTAAATGTCAAGGGGAACCTCTACCTTTACCTTCATGTCATAATTCATATGCATAAGTGCAGATTCAGAAATAACTGTATTGCTTAAAATAGAAAAAACAGACCTTGCCCCCATAACGGGGAAGACTGTGACAGGTGAGCCATCTATCTACTGTACTTCTTGTGCATCTGCTAACTATTCATGGTCAGTTTCCAGTCACCTGCTCCCTTCTTGTGGCTCCTTATTTTTAAAGCAGACTTGATTGAGATAATCCTTCCAAAAGAGTACTGTCTTTTGTCAGACCCTTGACTGAAGAGTTCCTCTACGAAGTCAGCCACAGGGCTACTGTAGTCTACAGTTCTTTACAGTTCTTCTACTTCTTTCATATAACTCCTCTTTTTCTAAGGTTGGTTCTGGCAGGCACTGATGCTACAGTTTTCTGCATGCAACCTATGTGAGGATATACTGTACCTAATCTTGACAGATGCGCTTTTACAATGTAGTGACAGTCTGGCCCTGTTGTCCTTTACCTGCATGCTTGACCTGGCAAAAGACTTCCTTTTATTATTATTTTGCCCCAGACTGGAAGGAAAAGCATTTCTGATAAAAAAGTGCACTTTGTTTAAGATCCATATTAATAATTCAGTGGCCTCGTGGAAGTAGATCATGAATACAGTGCGACAGCCCTCAAACCAAGGGCAGCGTGAACACTTGAAGGCTGCTGGTCTCATAAGGAAAAAAACTGGGAACAGACACATATTAATGATGTTCTTGGAAGTCCTCTCTCTGAAAGAGTTCAAGGCACTTTTTTAAACTAAAGAAAAGCAGATTTTTTTTCTTTTCTCAGTGCATATTCCTTAAGAAGTTCATCCTCAGGTATGTTGTTTGATACTGCATGAAATACTTAGCAAGCAAGCTGCTCTTATCACAAGTTGCTTAAGACTAAAGAGCTGTTATGATAATTAAAAGGAGAGGGGAAAACTCCCTTTGCTTTTAAGGATATAGAATATGAGAGGTGGGGATTTTTGCTGCTTGGCACAATGTACTGTATATCACCTGCTGGGTTGACTGTAGCCTGAAATGGTGTGGTGAACCTATTCTTTCACATGAGTCACACAACTGTACCTGGCATTCGTTCATATGCACATACTGTTCACATCACACACACATTGTCATCCACACTATTCAGTATGACTGGAACAGGGCAGAGGCCTGGAACAGAAGCTGGTGGGCCAGACAGAGAATCCATTCTCCCTGTAATATATTGTCATCCACACTATTCAGTATGACTGGAACAGAGAATCCATTCTGCCTGTAATATATTGCTATTGTTATGTGCTGTCGAGTCAGAACCAAATTACAACAAGTCTAAGAGGGCTTTCAAGGTAAGTGAGATTGTTAAGGAGGGGATTTATCAGAAGAGGGCTTTCAAGGTAAGTGAGATATTTAAGGAGGGGATTTATCAATGTCATCCCCTCAGTGAGTTTTCATGCCTGGGTGGAAATATGAACCCAGGCCTTGTGAAGTCCCCTAGTCCATCACTCTACCCACTATACCATATTGGGTATTGCCTGTAATATATAAAGGACCATGCATTTATTCATTTCCAGATTACACAGATGTAAGAGTCAAGGTAAGTGAGATATTTAAGGAGGGGATTTATCAATGTCATCCCCTCAGTGAGTTTTCATGCCTGGGTGGAAATATGAACCCAGGCCTTGTGAAGTCCCCTAGTCCATCACTCTACCCACTATACCATATTGGGTATTGCCTGTAATATATAAAGGACCATGCATTTATTCATTTCCAGATTACACAGATGTAAGAGTGGGTAGTACCTTTTATTGGACCTCTAAAAAATCAAAGTGCAAACTTTCATGGAGGATTTACACTTCATCAGGCTAAGCACTTCCACTTCATGGTTAATGCATAAAAATTGTGGACAAGAGTCCAAAAATGGATAGTACGTCTGTGAGAGGTGCATGCAATATAGCTAGAATGGAGAATTATAACATCTGTAGTCCAGAAAATCCAGAAGTCCCATTCCTAGTTTTTATTCCCGTATTTATCTGGAAGATTGAACAAAATTGTACATCTGTGCACACCTGATGGATGAAACTTCCTCAACATGAACAAGAACCATAGCCATTTGGGGCTGGAGGCAAATGTTCCTCTTGTTAAGTCCACATAATCTCTTTCAAGAAGCCTAAAAACAGACAGGGCCCAGTCTTACATACATAGCCTATGCATATAACTCCCCTGCCTCATGCATTGATTGGCTGAAATCCAGTAGTAAGTTGCAACTAGAGTAGGCCTGCTGAATCACTGAAACTTGACTACTTTAGTTGCAACTAACTACTTGAGTTCAACAGGGATGTGATGGCGCTGTGGGTTAAACCACAGAAGCCTCTGTGCTGCAAGGTCAGAAGACCAAGCAGTCATAAGATCGAATCCACACAAGAGAGTGAGCTCCCATTGCTTGTCCCAGCTCCTGCCGACCTAGCAGTTTGAAAGCATGTAAATGTGAGTAGATAAATAGGTACCACCACGGTGGGAAGGTTACAGCATTCTGTGTCTAGTCGCGCTGGCCACGTGACAACAGAAACTGTCTATGGACAAATGCTGGCTCTACGGCTTGGAAACAGGGATGAGCACTGCGCTCTAGAGTCGGACACGACTGAACAAATATCAAGGGGAGCCTTTACCTTTAACTACTTGAGTTCAGCCAGACTAAATATCAAGGGGAAGCTTTACCTTTATCTAACTTCTTGAGTTCAGCCAATGAGCCTCTATTGTTACCATAAAGTCTACTTCTTATCATCACCTTATCTGGTTTTTATTATCAAATTGGTGAACCCCCAGTATTAGTAATGGAACTGTGACTACCAATACTTTCTACATTCAATTTTCCTCTCACTTCATGGTCTACAATCTTACCCTTTAACATTTGTACTTTGTGTATCTGAAATTCTGGATTCACAAGAAGCTCTACTTTAATAAATTAGTTCTTCTTTAGAATTTAGGACTCTTGCTTGCTTTTGGGACAACCGACTAACACAACTCCCTTGTTTGATCCAGTGCAGTAACACAGAAACAGAATTGCAAACAAGAAGGAGCTGTTAAGGTTTGGCTATTGAAACCCAGTGCCTGCTATTTAAATTTCAGATTTAAACCATTTTCAAAGAAATTCATCTTGCTGCTCATGAGCACAAATGTAACAGTAAAACCCAACTGTAGTTTTTTTTTTTTGCTTGCTTCTGCCATTCCACACAAGCATTTCATGTCTATACCGCTGCATTGCTTCAGTTAATTTACTACTTCGAATGCCATTAAAAAGATTGCATTATGGGTGAAATTCCTAATGCAGGCACATATAACTTATTGATACTATCATTCTGTGTTACCAAAGGGACGGTTTTATATGGGAACCAATAGCATTTTATTAGGTTGTCATTACAACTAACTCAGAGGGGGCTTTCTCCAATCAATAACAGAAGTCAGATTTATGTGTTTGACCCACTGTTTTAGCACCCTCTGTGGAGAATACATTTCAGCAAGGTATTGTTTCTCCATCCTATTAATTAGAAGGCTTTGCCTCCAAGCTGTTTTCAGATCTAGATTGCCATGGATTTCACTGGGTACTGCAGTACGCAGCCAGAATCTAAATGTTGTTACAATGCGCTTAGATTAGTGGATTTAGACGAGGTCCGGGTGCAGAGACGTGGCATTCAAGCACCTTGAAGGGTGGCCGTGATTGCTTAGCTCCTGGAGAGCAGATCATGCATGCAGGTCACTGGGTTGCCATTTTCCTCTCTATGGTAAGACATATTGCACTTCTGTTTAAATTATAATCATTCTTTCTCAAAGTAGACCTACACCTGTACACCAGTCTAAATAAAATGTTACATGTTTGTGTCTTCTTTTGTATTTTGATCATAGGGATATCTTGGACTGTTACTTTCCAAAAATAAGGCATTTGCATGTGTGGTTCCAAAAGAATTCAAAAGTAGTTGCAATTTTTGAAAAGTAACTCTTTGCTTTTATATTTCTGAGAAGTAATAAAAATAGTTACTTAGGAGTACTTCTCTCTCTCTCTCTCTCTCTCTCTCTCTCTCTCTCTCTCTCTCACACACACACACACACACACACACACACACACACCATTTGACTTGTATCATATGATATTCATCCTCTATGGATTAACTACAACTTTAAAAGTAACTTAACTCCTCCCCCAAGAATCCTA